ACAATGAATGAATGGAATCCCAAAATCTCTGTAGATGTTCATTGAAATGAAAAATAACCTAAATTTAAAAAAAAAAGAACATTAAAAGTTTGATTCTAGAAAACCTATGACTATATACCTGAGTCTAACTCTAGAATCATCAAATCAGAAATTCCAGGTGGGTCTGTGAATATGCATTAAAAAAATAGAAATCTTCTCAGGTAATTCTGACTAACAAATAAAGTGTGTTATGAATTAAAGACTTTAGTATCTTTCTTCTCCCCAGAGTATACACTGGCTTAAAGTATGCACTTAAAGCATACAGGGCCTCCACAAAAAAAAGGCTGATAACCCAATTACAAAATGGACAACACATATAGAAAGGCTGTTCACAGAGGAAGACATTTGGATGGTCAACTGACACCAGAAGAAATGCTCCAAATCACTGGCAACAAGAGAGATGGAAGTCAAAACCACAATGAGATACCAACTCGTTCCAGTAGCAGTGGTAAAATTTAACAGGACAGCAAGTAATAAATGTTGGAGAAGTATCTGTACTGCACAAATCACTTGCATTCAACTTGGTAGGCATCGTCTAGTCAACCATGACTCACAGCAACCCTATGAACAATGGATCTGAACCGTGTCCTACGTTTGAACCTTATCCTATCATGTGCTGTCCTCATTATCTCTGATATACTCAAGCCCATTGTTAACAGTTACTATGTCGATCCATCTCATTGAGGGTTTTCCTCTTTTCTGCTGACCCTCCACTTTTCCAAACACGATATTTTCTTCCAAGGACTGAGCAGCCCTAACAACATGCCTAAAGTTTGTGAGATAAAGTTTCACATAACTCTTGTTGTTGCATGCCATCAAGTTGGAACTGACCCATACCTGACCCTCCAGCGGGTTTTCAGTAAATTGCAAGTTAGGAGATTGTCCATTCTTTTCCTGCAAAGCAGCTGGTGGATTTGAACTGTATGCCTTTGGGATTGCAGTGAAGCTTTTAACCACCAGACCACCAGAGCTCCCCATAACTTGTTGATGTTTTTGTTATGTGCCATTGAGTCACCTGCAACTCTTAGCAATCCTATGAAAAAATATCTCTGAACCTTGCCCTATCCTGAGCTAACCTTACCACTTCCAATACACCTGTTCCCCATTGCCACAGTCACTGGGTTTATTCATCTCATCCAGGGTCTTCTCCTGCATTGATTGTTCTATCCTTCCAAGCTTAATGTCCTTCCAAGGACTGGTCTCTCTTGGCAACATGCCTACAATATGTGAGATGGAGCTTGAAAATCCTTGCCACCAAGGAGCAACCTGGTTTTACTATCCAAGACAGACCTGTTTGTTCTCTGACAGTCCATGGTATGTTCAGTACTCTTTTCCAGCACCATAACTCAAAGGCACCTATTCTTCTGTCATCCTTAGAAGGATGGAAAGTGAGTGCGAAGATTATGGCCTCAGTCAGGTGCACCTTAGTCTTTAGATTTGCATAGTTGCTCTTTAGCATTCTGGAGAGATCCTTTTTTTTTTTTTTTTTGGAGAGATCCTTGACAGCAGACTTTCTCAGTGTAATTTGTCTTTTGATTTCCTGACTTTTGGTGCCAAGATTGTGGATCTGAGCAAGAGGAAATAATTAACATCAGTCCTTTCTCAGTTTATCATTATATTTCCCAGTAGTGAGGATCTCTGTGTTCTTGATGTTGAGATGTAATCCATATTAAAGGCTGTAGTCCTTGACTTTCTGCAACAAAGTTCTCCTCAGTTTCAGTGAGCAAGATTGTGTCATCAGTATAACACAAGTTGTTGGTGAGTTTTACTCCAATCCTGATGCCACATTTTTCTTCATATAGAAAACTGTGTTCTGCATATAGATTGAATGTGTATAAAGAAAGCATACATCCCTGATGCACTCCTTTCTTGATTTCAAAGCATGTGGTGTTCCCCTGCTCTAGTCATACAATATCTTCCTGGTCTAGGTGTAGGTTTTGCATGAACAGTATCAGGTGTTCTGGGATTCTCATTCTTTTCAGTGTTAGCCACAGTTTGTTGTGATCCACACAGTCTAATGTCTTTGTCGACCTGATAACACACAAATAAACATCCTTCTGATACTCTCTTTCAGCCATGATCCATCTGACATAGTGCCATGCCTCTTCTAAATCCAGCTTGTATTTCAGGGAGTTCTTTGTCAATGTTCTAGAGGTTTTTGGATAATTTTCAGCAAGATTTTGCTTTCATGTTCTATTAGTGATATTTTTAAATTATTTCTACATTCTGTAGGATCACCTTTTTGGGGAACAGGAATAAATACAAATCTCCGGTGAGGCAGCCGGGTAGTTGTCTTCCAGATTTCTTGGCACAACCTGGTGAGCATATCAAGGGCTGCTTTTCTTTGGCAAAATTGGTCAATTGGTATTCCATCGATTCCTGAGGTCTTATTTTTGTCAGTTCCTTCAAAGCAGCATGAACTTCCTCCTTCATCACCATTGGTTCTTTATCATATAGAACACTTGAAAAGGTTCTGTGTCAGCCAATTCTTTCTGGAGTAGTGATTTTCTGACTTCAGCTCTTTGCACGTTTAATTACAACACTTTGCTTTGGTCTTCAGGAGCTGCCCTAGGAAATGTTCTGTTCAGCTCTTTCACTTCCTCTTTTCTTCCCTTTGTTTTGGCTTCTCAGCATTCTAGTGCAATATTCAAAGTCTCCTCTGACATCCATCTTTATCTTCTTCTTCTGTCTCTGTAATGATCCCTTGTTCTCCTCACAAAATATATTCTTGATATCATCCCATAGCTCATCTGGTCTTCATTAGTGTTCAATGCCTCAAACCTTAAGATGCTTTTTCAATTCAAATGGGATAGATTCAACATCATTTTGTGGATTTGTTTTCATTTTCTTTAGTTTCAGTTTGAACTTGCACATGAGTAATTGATGGTCTGTTCCACAGACAGCATCTGGTCTGGTTTTACAGCTGATATTGGGCTTCTCCAACAATTCTTCCCATATATGTAATCAATCTGATGCCTGTTTAATCCATCAGGTGAGGCCCAGGAGTATAGTCATCATTTGTGTTTCTTATAAAAGATGCTTGCAATGAATAAAACATTGTACAAAATTCAGTCTTTGGCCTCATTTCTGTCACCTTGGACATAGTTTGTAATTACTGGTCCTTCTTCCTTGTTCTACTTTTGCATTCCAGTCACTAGTTATTATTAATGAATCTCGACTGTATGTAAGTTGGCAGAAATCTTCTATTTTCTTCTCTTTGACTTTAGTTGTTGGTGCATATATTTGAATGATAGTGGTATTAACAAGTTTTCCTTGTTTGCATAAGGATAGTATCCTGTGACAACATTGTACTTCAGGATGGATCTAGAAATGGTCTTTTTGAGTATGAATGCAACCCTATTTCCCCCTCACATTTTCATTTTTGCCATAGTAGATTATATGATTTTCTGATTAAAAGTGGCCCATGCCTATCCATTTCAGCTCACTAACATCCAGTATGTCAGTATTTATGCATTCCATTTCTTTGTTAACAATGTCTAGTTTTCCTATATTCATACTTCGTATGTTCCATACTCCAATTACTAGTGGCTGTTTGCAACAATTCCTCACTTCTGTGTTTCCCAATAAGAAGGCTCAGTTTCCACTGCTATATCTAATAGTCTAAGTGTGCTCTATAGTACATAATATTTTTGAAGGCCTGTTATTTAGGAAATGGATGACCAATTCTTCTTCCTAGTCTGTCTAAATTTAGGAGTTCTGCTTTTTTAGTACAGTGTCTGACAGACAAGTGTTATACCCAAAAGAACAAATGATATATACATGAGAAAAATGGGGATCCCAGAACACTATATGAAACCTATACTTGAACCAGGAAGCAGTTATCAGAACAGAGCAGGGAAACACTGCATAGTTCATAATACCTTTTGAATCAATGTGCAGAACAGATCATTCAGGAGGCTGGACTTCATGAAGAGGTATGTGGCATCAGGATTGGAGGAAGACTCATCAACAACCTGTGTTATGTAGATGACACAACCTTGCTTGCTGAAACTGAAGAGGACGTGAGGCGTTTGCACAGAAGGTCAAAAACTGCAGTCTTCAATATGGACTGAAGCTCAACATCAAGAAAACAAAGATTCTCATCACTGGGCCAGTTAGCAGCTTCATGATGGGAGGAGAAGAGATTGAGATTGTTGATAACTTCAGCTTGCTTGGTTCCACAATCAATACTCTTTGCATCAGCAGCAGTCAGGAAATCAAGAGATGAATTCCACTGGGAAAGTCTGCTATCAGGGACCTCTTTAGAGTACTGGAGAGTAAGAATATCAGTCTGGAGACATGTGCGCCTAAGTCAAGACATGGTCTTTGCAAATACTTGCTATTCATCTAGGAGCTGTACAATAACTAAGAATGATAAAAGAAGAATCAATGCCTTTTAATTGTGGTGCTGGAGGAGTGTTAAACATACTGTGGACTGCCAGGAGAACAAACAGGTCTGGCCTGGGGAGGGTAAAACCAGGCTAGGCTTTTGAAGCTCTGTCTCACATACTTGGGGCGTGTGGCCAAGAGGGACCAGTCCTTGGAGATGGACATCGTGCTTCAAAGTGTGGAGGGACAGCAGAGAAGCAGAAGAGCCTGGATGAGATGGATTGACTCATTGACTGGAAAAATGGGATTAAATCTTTCAGAGACAATGAAACTGGCTCAGGATAGACAGGGTTCAGAGCTATGAAATGCAGATGACTTGATGGAACATAACAACAATAACAACACGCTATTGAGACCTGCAATGTGCAAAGACAAAAGTACAGAATAGATAGATAAATTTGGTAATTCAGCATTGCTATTTCATACCTTCACCCCAGCCCCACCCGTCTCCACCAGTTCTCTAACCACTAAAATGATGGCTCTGGTTCCTCTCACTCCTATCCAAAGTCTGGTTATCCCCTTAAAGATAGTTCTTTGAGCCTCCAAGCTCCCCTACATGTTTCTGGGTGCTGTTGAAGCAAGTTACTGTGGTTGTGTACCTGGGTTTAGGTGCTGGGGCTCCACAAGGCTCCCGGCATGGCTTGGCTCTACATACCTCCAGGCGGAGAGGCAGAACACTCCAGCCTGGGTCTGGGCAAAGTCCAACTCATAGAGACTGTATGTATAACAGAACCAAATGCCTGGTGCATACTTTCCTCCAAGAAAACACATTTCCATTTTGCAATTCTTGGGGTCACCATAATTCAGAATCTACTGGAGGGCAACAGGTTGATTTGGTTTAATCTACCTGAAGAGACTCCAGCAGAAACATGACTAGGGCTTCAGTCTTGGAGGGCAAACAGACTAAATCTTCAGTCAGTCTGCACAAGAAGTCTGCGATAGGTGGCCTAGTGGCAAGAAGCTGCACTGCAATTCTGAAGGCACGCGGTTCAAGGCCACCAGGTGCTCTGAGGGAGAAGGATGGGCCATCTCCTCTCCTGCGATTAAATGCCTCTGAATATCCTCTGGAGTGTCAGCTATGGGTCAATTCCGACTCCACAGTATATCACCACTGCAACTCTAGGGTAAGGAGTTTGCCAACATAAAGACAAGTGGTTCCAATCCACTAGCTGCTCCGTGGGAGAAAGATAGGCAATCTCCTTTCTTAAAATGTAAAGCCTCTGAAAACCTACTGGAGCTATGAGTAAATTTTGACGCAAGGACAAATAACAACTATAGTGGTTCTTCTTCCCATTCTGGATCAAATAGTTAAGGTAAAACCAGAATTTTTTGCCATGATTCATCTCCCCTGTCCCTAACTCTGCTCTCTGTCCACTTTTCCACCAACATTAAGGAATAGTTCATATGTGTTAAAAACCGGGTGTCAGACAAGAGGGTAAAACAATTTGGGCTTTGAAGGACTGTTGCTGCTGATTGCCGTGGGGTAGAGCGCAAAAACACAGCGACCCTATGTACAAAAGACCTGAAGCCTTTCTAGAACTATCGCCGTCTCTCAGTTTATTGAAGGACTACGAATCCCATAATGCAACTTGACCTCCCAAAAACTACTATTCCCAGCATGCAATGCAACCATACTTGGCATTGGGAAAGAACTGCTATCTTGGGTGGAAATTTTGCCTTCAGGTCATGCTCAGTCAAACGAATGATAAGATTTTTTATTTTCTATCAGGAATGGTCACTCACTAAACCCAGACAAAGAAGGGGAGGAGTCTGATCCAGGTCACATGCTGCCGTGAGCTTGTGGAGTTCTGGGCTTGGCGGCAGGAGTTTGAAGGACTGGGAGCTGCTTGCACTCCTGAGTTTTCCTCATGGCTTCGGTGACCAGATCCGTGTTTGGAGACTTGCCGTCGGGGGCAGGAACAGTGGAGAAGTTCCAGCTGCAGTCAGACCTGCTGACAGTGGACATCATCTCCTGGGGCTGCACCATTACAGCTCTGGAAGTCAAGGACAGGCAGGGAAGAGCGTCTGATGTGGTGCTTGGCTTTGCCGACTTGGAAGGTGGGTTGAACTCTGTCCCTAGCTGCAGGCGTGCTCCAGACCTCTGTAACCGCTCACCCACGTGAGCTGAGGTTGTGGTAGTTCTTGAATCAGGGTTATGTTGCGATCCAGTTTCGGAAAAAGACAAATGAGTAAAAACAATTCTTGGACTTTGCCCCTGGTTGTTCATCCAGGCGTTGCCTGAATTAACTGAAAAAGCCAACTATCTTGGCAATCTTTGAACCCCGAGGACAGCAGAGGAAAACTAGACAAGAGTGAGTGTGACTCCCAGTCCTTCTCTATGCTCTTTCTAAAGACTGAAAATCAAAACCATACACTTCTTCGTTTTCTTTTGTCATTTTCTCTCTGAGAGCTGACCATTTCAGTAAATGCTCTAATATAAACTTAGTAGAGGCCAAGTCCCTCTGTCTGCTGTGTCCCACTACAATGTGCCTGCAATGTCCAGCCGTGTGCTGAATGAACTAGATAAGACCAACTCTTTGAACAGATATGTTCCATTGAGTTGGAACCATCTCAGCTGACCCTTCAGCAGTTTTTCAAAGGCTGTAAGTCCCAGGGAGCATGCCTATCCAGTGGTAGTGCTGCTCCTTACCAGAGGTCCCAGATTGGAAAGGAGAGCTCTTAAATTGGCTAGAAGGAGTTCGGTGGCACAGTAATTAGGGCACTGTGCTGCCCACCCAAACTTGGTTAGAGTCCTCTGACTGTTGGAATCCAAGAGCAGTTCCTCAGAAACCCGATTAAAGCTTCTGAGAGAACTGAGTTGGAATCCTTGGGCAGTGAGTGGGAATGAGTGAACTAGGATGGAAGGAGACCGTGGCTGATAAAAAGAGGTTTGTGATAGGCTAACAACAGGATTACCATAGCTGATGTATTTGAGAGAAGGTGCATGAGTGCTTCCTCAAGGCAAGAATGGTGAAGCTTTCCCTCACTTACTTTGGGCTGTTCCTTGGTATGAGAGAGACATCATGCTTGGAAAGGTAGAGGGTCAGCAAAAGAAAAAAAGACCCCCAACAAGATAGATTGAACCAGTTACTTCAGCAACGGAGCCAAGAGTGTCAGAGACAATGAAGCGTGTGCAGGACAGGAGAGGGCTCAGATCTGTTGTTCACAGGGTCACTATGAGTTGTACTTGACTGGATGGCACACAACCACCATAACAACAATGCCACCACTACAGGATGACAACCAAGAAAGCCTCATGGAGCAGCTCCACACTGTGACATCTCCGCCAATTGGAATCCACTTGACTGGACAGGTTTGATGGTTTGGAATCAACTCCACTGGAACAAGTTTGCTTTTTGTTGACTCATTGCTTGCAGACCTCCACTGTGGGTTTTCAAGTCAGTAAATCAGCTGCAGGAAACTGCCCATCTTTTGCATGTGGAGTCACTAGTGCTTTTGCTGGTGGCCCCTAGGTTAGCCTAGTGCGGGTGAGGAGTTGCGAGATCAACCCGGAGGCTGGTGGTTTGACCACAGAAGAAAGATAGGCAATCTCCTTATGTGCATTTGTAGCCTCAAAAAATCACTGGAGGCTCAGCTGTGAATTAATTCAGACTCAGTGCAATACGTTTGAGGTTTTACATTAGCAATGTAGCTCGCTATGGACTAAGCCAACTAAAGAACTTTTGTTTTTCTCTCTGTGTTGGTATTCATGAACAGTTATGACTACTTGGAAATTCTTGCACTCAAAACCTGTTAATTTAGTTAAGTCATTCAGTAAAATAGACAAAATCGAGGAACTTGCTGTTTATCCAGGGGAGATATACTTTAATTGGATAGTTGCATAAATGTTGTTATGTGCCGTCAAGTCACCTACAACTCTTAATGACAATATGTACAACAGCTCTGAACCCTGCCCTATCCTGAGCCAACATTATTGTCTCTGACACACCTACCCATATTACCGCAGTCACTGAATCAATACAACTTATCGACAGTCTTCCTCTCCTGCGCAGTCCTTCCACCCTCCCAAGCATGATGTCCCTCTCCAGGGTCTGATCCCGCTTTGCAACATGTCCAAAGTATGTAAGACGAAGCTTCATAATCCTTGCCTCCTCTTCTCCAGCACCACAGCTCAAAGGCATCAATTCTCCTCCTATCATCTCTAGTCATTGTTCAGCTCTCTGATGTATAGCAAGTGATTGCAAAGACCATGGCCTGAATCATAATACACTCTAACATATAGCTATCCTATCCTGCACCACAGCTAAAAGGCATCAATTCTCCTGTAGACCAGCAGATATCGCAACTGAGACTGAGCCCTCAAATAGGGAAACACAAAGGAGGAGGAACAGCTGTAAGCAGACACTAGTGTTTGGAACATGGAATGTGAGAACCATGAATATAAAAAAAAATTGGAAATTGTTAAGAAAGAAAAAGAACACGTACTAGGTATTGGCGAAATGAGATGGACTGACTGGCATGGGGCATTTTGAGTCAGACAATCTAATGAAAAGATGAGGAAGAATGGTGTTGCTTTCACAGTTAAAAAAGTAATTTCTAGATCTATCTTGAAATGCAATGTTGTGAATGACAGAGTAATATCCATATGCATATAAGGAAGTCCAGGGTATACCACTATCATTCAAATATATGCACCAGCACCTAGAGTTGCATAAATAACTAATTGCCTGTTTGGTTGCTGGCCATAATGTAGCTAAATAGAAATTGGAGTGTGAAATAAGTTGACAGGGGAACTGCTTGAGAGTTGATAGCCCCTGCACAGTGGAGGGAGCTCTGGTGGCCTAGTGAAAAGGATGTATCCTGCCAACCTAAATGTGGGTTGTCCCAGTCCACCAGCTTCTCTGCAGAAGAAAAATGGGTGTTCCCTGTGTGATTTACAGACTCTGGTGCTTACATCAGCTGGAGGGACCACACAAAACAACAACAATTCTGTGGTGGGGGTGTGTACAAAACCTCCAAAGGAGGTTTGAGGATTTCCTTTAGGTGTGTCTTGTTTTGTTCTTTAGATATTTAACTTGATTTATGGTTTGAGGTCAAAAGATCTCTCCGGGACTATTGTTTTTCTGCTAGGAGCCTGAAATTGACTGTTTCTTCAACAAAATTATTTCTAAGAATGTTTCTGGTGACCTATGCGTTTGCCCTTGTCTGCCATGAAGTTTCTACTGCTTGGCTTGGAGAATTTCTTTGATTAAGTAGGTCTGTCAGAAAGACTCTGGGATGTGGGAAATCAGCTCTTCTTCCCCTTCTTCTCCAGAACTTCTGCGCCACTTGGAGTGAGAATTCATATTTGTCAAGTTCAGGAGGCAAGAGGGTTGACAAATGACATAAATAGAGGGGGCTCCTTGCAATGATTTTGCTGATATTTCGTCACTCGTAGCCATTTTCTAGTTTGAAACAGCCAAAAAATTAAAAAAAAAAAAAAAAGACTTCATGATGTGCAGAATCGCCCAGCGCAGTCAAAGGAAAGATGGGTATATATGGCCTAGAATGCCAGAGCCGGTGGAAGGACTGGAGTTGATAAAGTACAGGCACCTGCCTTTGTCCTTTCCCTCTGTTCTTAATAGTAGCAATAGCAACCTTCTGTACATGCCCACTCACTTCTTACCATGTTTTAAGTCACCTGTATCTGAAAACACAAGGCTTCTTTGTGGAATTCACTGCATGTGTGCCATGTTGAGGTGAGACGTGCCAACTTCTTGATAAATATAGGGAGGTCACTTGGTCACTTGTATGAAGATGTTCTACCAACTCTCTAAGGTATCTCCCCGGTAGCTCAGTGAAACAAAACATTACCTACAAACATTCTTAAGGGGGGGGGGAATTCGCATAGATTCTAATCATGTGGTCTGTGTTTTATTGCCTTCTTTCTTAGTTACCTGTAACTGTGCTGTAACAAAAATCCATGGGGGGCTGTAAAGATTAGAAATTAATCAAGGTCTCAGCCACGTCTGTCCCTTCTTGAAGGTCTATCTGGTCATTTCTTGGCCTCTGGACTTGTAGACAGTCCTTATATGGCAACTCTATCCCCCATGTCCCCAGTGTGTCCAATTTCTTCTATCTTTTTTTTTTTTTTTTGCTTATTTAAAGTTTATTTACATTATATTTCACTGTTCTTCATTCACATTGTATTTCATACAATAATTCTCAAATATTATGTTTTATAAAATCAATCAGCATTGGGCTTTGCTCATCACCCTGCTGTTT